TATTCCTTATGGTAGTAAGCAAACGACAGGTGCATTTTACTTAAGGAAACAAAAAAATGTTATTTACAGTCTTGGGAAGTTTTTTTCCTCCTTAACTCAGAACACAAATTCTCTCAACTATGACTGTATTTTCTAGCTGCACTCTCTAATGTTCAGTTCGTGTCTCTTTCAGCCTCCCTCCTGCTATAACATTCCAAACCCTGCCTCCCCTTCCATCCTCTAGCTAATCTTCATCCAGAAGCAAATAAAACATCTGACAAGCCTGCCACACTTGTCAAGCATGCCACACAAACATCCTGAACACACCGATTAATCATGCCACACATCCCTGAAACTATACTTACCGTATAATTACACTATACCATAACACTGTGAAGTAACATGGCTTGCGATCATTGTTATTCAGGAGTACCGAATAAATACATTAGTCATATACTACTGTCACCATTATTTTTCTATTTTTATCGGGGGGGACAATTAAAATGGCTAACCCACTTCAAAATGACACTTTTACAATGTGTAAATGTTACTTAATGTGCAAAAAAACATAATATTTCTAGTGTTCCCCATTACTTTTTTAAAGTAGGAATACCTCTTGATTGTTAAAAAAAAGTAGTGTGTGCCAAGTAGTATCACCATCTCTATTACATAAAAATAGCAAATATTGTACCATTCTAAGGAACCAAGACTGTGTTAACAGAAGAAAACTATTAATTGAGAATCAACCTTGCAGAAACATACAGAAAAAGAAAGAACAGCCCCCCTGCCTCTACCTGCACAACAGAAGCAACGGGTCTGCACACTATTGACCAGAAGGCAATTGCTACCCAAGGCATCAGCGTCTAACCATCACAAGTCCGCAGCGACCGTAAGAATGCAGTCACCTTGGCCTTTCATCACAGCTTTCCATTACATCACTGCTTTCAGGAATACAACCCCATCATCATCAGCCAGCAAACTGAATGCTAAGAGATTATGGGACACAGGCAGAAAGAGCAAGCCACCTCAGGTTCCATGAAGAGGCAGCAGATTTTTAGATATTAATTTATTATTGCTGTGTTTTTACTGCCAGGAGAATGGTGTTTATGGGATCTTCTGAAGGAATTCTTTGTTTGGCCTTGAGACAATAAAACACACTCCTCTGCTTTGGGCAACAAAACCCTTTGGCCTGAACCTGATGGGAGTTAAAGCCCCAAACACATGAAGAGACCCAGATTAGAAGACTATTGCAACGCAATAGGAGGGGCATGTTCCATATGATTAGCTTGCTTCCACCCACCAAACCAACATTATCTACTGATAATACAGCAAGGCTAGCAAAATAACTCCACCAAGTGAGCAATTATTAGACTTGGGGGAAGTGTAAGCTCAGTCATTAAGAAGCTTATTTCTGAAATCTTTGTGCTCACATTGTTCTGATATGAAGGTGTGAAATGTTCAATAGAGTTACTCAGCTCAGCAGCCTGTTCAATAGATTTATTCCGATTACTCAATAAAGATACCACAGGTTGTTCTGCTATCCTCTTACCTCTCCTTCAGGTACTGTTAAAAAAACAAGAAACAAAGTAAAACCACCATAAGGTCACTTTCCAGTTACTTGCTTTTCTTGCCTCTCTCAATAACCAAGACACAGAACTGAAGGTAGCCAGAAATAAAACCTACTAATATATTTACGAAGGCTTTCACGGCCGGGATCTAATGGTTGTTCTGGGTTTTTCGGGCTCTTTGGCCGTGTTCTGAAGGTTGTTCTTCCTGACGTTTCGCCAGTCTCTGTGGCCGGCATCTTCAGAGGACAGCAACCTGTACTCCAGTTGCTGTCCTCTGAAGATGCCGGCCACAAAGACTGGCGAAACGTCAGGAAGAACAACCTTCAGAACACGGCCAAAGAGCCCGAAAAACCTACTAACTTAATCAGAGAACTGTAGAACAAAGCTTCAAGCTCTTGCTTTCTTTCTCTCTTCTCTTCCCAAAAGGAAGGTTTTCGAGGGAGTTTCACGTTACACAGGTGGTCTGCCTCTGCCTTAGAGACTCTTAGAGAAACTATTTCCCCTGTTCAGTGGTCTTCTTTCTCCAAATCTACTTGAGGTTCCACTATTCCCAGGTTTTCCACCTCTGACAGGTGGGACTCTTCCCCTAGTTCCTCCACCATGTTACCTCAATTCTCTTCTTCCTCTCTTCTGGCCTACCCAGTTCTAAGCCTTTTGTGATGTGTCTCAGCTACTTCACCCTTTGGGGCAGCAGCCTTCTCAGCATTTCCCCCCTCTACCTTCCTTATGTGTCACGTTGTGTAATTCTGTTAAATATAGCAGATAAAGGGAAGAGGGCCAGCAGGATGGAAAGATTTAATAGGTCACATATAATCAAACCATGTTTCCCCACCACCACCACTCTATTTTCCTTTTCTTCTCTCTTTATTTCCTTTTCTCTTTTGATTACAAGCTGGCTGAAAGTGGCAGTAATAGGGCCTTTGGCCTTCTCCACCATTAAACACTGGAAGAAGAAGAAGGATGGAAGCACAGGTAATGGTGCAAAACTTGTTCCTGTTATCATACTGATACAGAACATTCCAGAAAAAAAAAATAAAACAGAAAAATAATAGGGGGAGATGACCCAGTGATGCGCTCTGAGCAGAGGAGTGCCAGTGAGGGGTCATCCCAAATTCTCAGCACTCAACCCTAAACACATTTTGCTAACCATTATCTGCAGATAAGAAACAAGTGAAATAAGAGCTACAGCAGATACCCAAGGCGATTGAGAACCTTAATGTTAAAACTAGTACCATGAATTATGCCTGGAAACTAACAGGCATCCAGTGCATCCCAGAAAGAACAGGAATAATATAGTCTTCATAACCTCCACATGCTAAAGGTATGACACAAAATTCTGTGACATACGCAAAGCCTGAATCATTTTCAAAAGCAGCCTCACATAGCAGAGATCCAATGAAATTACCAAAACATGGCTGATGGTAACAACACGTACATTCAAGAGAAAGGATGTAATCCATCTATTAGCATCAGGATATGAAATGCATTGCTTCTCACAGCCATTACCTGAACATAAAATGGTGGTGGGGAGCCATGAAACTCATCCTAGTTACAAACTCAACTCTTTGAGAAGCATGAACCTGTGTAGTGCAGGAACAGCCACTATGCTAAAATCATCATAACTGCTGGATAGCTCAGTGGTTTAAGTACCTGACTGTGGAGCCAGAGGTTGGGAGTTTGATTCCTTACTGTGCCTCCTTGACAAGGGCTGGACTTGGTGATCCATAGTGTCTCTTCCAACTTTGCAGTTCTAAGATTATTATCAACACTTTTGCCTTTTTCATCTACCAAAACATACCAGATTGTGGTGGCCATTTAGAAATGCACCACCCAGTACATGCCCAGTCTTGCCTGCCTTCAGCTAAGAAGAGCCAGGCCTTCTTAGTACTGTAGTGTACAGGAATCACTAGGAATTGCTGCAGCTCCAAGACAGAGCAAATGTGTTTTATGCAGAACACACTGGATTCAAAGCCTAGCAATTCCAGGCAGGCCTAGAAAAGAATCTAACATGAACTCTTGGGAGAGCTACTGTCAGAGCTGGCAATATTGGGGCAGAGGGACCAAGGATCTGACTCAGCATAAGGCAGTTTTTAATGTGCAGTCTGCAATGAACCTAATTAACAGTGTGTCTATTTTGCTTATAAAGACACAAATATAGAACATTTGGTTTCAATTATAACAGAGTATATCACAGAACCACTTTAAAAAAGCATTGTAACAAGAGTGAAAGAGAAGTGGGACAAGAACCTTAAGAACAAAGGTTTGACCTAATATGCTATCTTGAATCTCCAGTTTGAGTGAATTGCTTTACAGATTGTATGCACTTTAGGAGATGGTTTCATCATCTCCTAATGCAGAAAACAATGACACAACCAATATATTTGCCTTAGCAACTCCCATATAACTTCAGTGAGTATAACTGATAAGTGCTGCTGATAAGACTTAAAATATTCTTATTTGTACAGTATTATGACTTGTATAAATACATTCCAGTTTGAACAGCAGAGTGAAAGTAATTTTCCAAAGAAGAATTATGGCAGCTGTTGAGGGTTAATATCAAGAATCAAGAAACCATCCCTTCAGATTCCATCTGTGTTACAAACTCATAAGGTGGTCTTAAGCATGCCATTATTCTCAGTTCCCCATCTGGAAAGTAAGAATAATACTGATGTAGATTGCAGCATTACTGTAAAGTAATCCACGCAATCTCCTCAAATGTATAAAATTATTAAACATTATTTTGAAGGTCCATTTAAACATGTGTTTATATAAGGCCATTTATATTCTATCAATTTGGAAGGGGGTTTCTGTCACAGAAAAAGCTGGGAACTATTTAAATAAAGTTAAGCAAATTTGATTTTAGGGAGAAAGGGGTAAACATATTCTCAACACTGTTAACAACAACTGAGTAACAGCTGAATAATTAACAGAAATTAGAGTGAGGTGTGTGTGCGTGGGCTTCTATACACACACACACACACACACACAAATAGAGAAAGATGAATATATCTTTCTCATGAATTTATGAATAAAATGCTTACTTGTTGAATAACTTGGACTGACCCCCCCCCCCCCGCATACATCTGTAAGAGGCTGAAAAGCTAAACAAGTACGCAACAGAAAAAGAAACATGCTTTCTAACCACTGGACAGGGGGAGTATATTGTTAAGAGTCACTTAACTCTCAGAGGGCCACATTAATTAGGAAGCAAGTTTGCCTGTGATCAAAAAGCTCTCAACATTTCCCAGCCTGGAAGATAATTCTTCAATTCAGTAATTGAACAACAACAACAACACCCTAAATGGGCAACAATTCGTGGAGCAGGATGGAGGAGGGATGGCGGCAGTACCCATACTGTGTACATTTTCAAAAAATCGGGTTAGTTGTTGTTGTTTTTAACAAGTAATTTCCCCTTCAGACCCAGCTCAGCATCCTCCCCTGGGGCATACTTACTCCTTCCCGGGCGCCGACCCGCACACCCGCCAGCCTCCGCTGAAACAGCCTCTCCCCCCACAACCCCGGCCGCCGCTCAGCAGGTCCACCGGCGCGGGAGGCTCCGGCCGCATTTCCCCATCAAAGGCCACGCCTGAGAAAGGCAGCTGCCCGGCGCCGCTCACCTGGAGCAGGTGCACTGGGGAGGGGCGCAGCTGGCTACCCCAGTGCCTGACGGCCAATGCTCACATAACCCCCCGCGCCAAGAAACGGAGCGCCCAAGGGGAACATGCTCCTCCAGAATATCCTATTTTTTAAAAAAAAATAATCTGAGAAATTCCACTTATATCCTAGAAGGGCCGACCGCCTAGGTCCCCTTTTGTACAGGCAAGGGCTTAGGACGCTCTTTCGGGGTCCTGCGTGGCGTCGTAAAGCAAGGAAGGGACGTTCACGACAGCCGCTCAACTGGCTTTGGCGCGCCCGCCGCGGTGCTTTCTCTTCCTTTCTCTCTTTCTGTGCCTGTCTGTCTGTCTTTCTCTGCCGGGCTTAGCCGCCAACATGGCGTCTGGGGAAGTCAAGTCTGTTCTCTTCGTGTGCTTGGGTGAGTGGGGCTTGCGGGGAAGGACGGGGGCGGGAAGAGACTGGTTGAAAGGGGGCTCAGAGTGTCCCGGGAGAGAGAGAGGAAAGAAAGAAAGAAAGAAAGAAAGAGAGAAAGAAAGAAAGAAAGAAAGAAAGAAAGAAAGAAAAAGACGGCGCAGTTCTTGCTTCTCCCTCGTCCCTTGTTTCAAAAGGACCAGATTACTTACGTGGCGCTCCCCCCCCCCCCCCGAGTATCCATCTAGGGTTGCTGACATGGCTGCTCTCCTCCCTTCTCCCACCTCCCTTTCTTCACTCACCCACCATTTCCCCTTTTCTTCTGCCCGATGCAGGAGCTTTAGCCCTTCGCTCTCAGGCAGCGGGTCTTTTTTTCTGACTGCCTGGACCGCATCTTTTGCCCTCCTCTCTGGCGGCAGCAGCAGCCGCCGTCCTTTGCCCTTTGTTGCCGTCGTTTGGGAGAAGGGGTTCATCTCCCACCTGAATTGGGAAGGGGGCGAATGTTTATCAGTCCCAGAGAAAGATGGGGGGGGGGCAGTTTGGAGAAGATGCTGCTGCTTCCTCTGCTTGCCAGTATTTTGCCTTAGGCAGCTTGGGTCACCTTGTAGGACCAGTCAGATAGAAACACTCTGTGTTTAATTCTTCCCCTCCCCACTCCCCACCCCAACATCATCACTGGGAAATCTTGATTATTAATTCGGTGAAATCTCTCATCTGGTTAATTTTGTGGTGCTTGTTGCTGCTGATTCTGGTAATAAAGTCAGGACTTGCAGGCATTCTGTTTTCATAGAAAGTGAAGTTGGAAGGGCCGTACAAGGCCATCAAGTCCAATCCCCTGTTCAGTGCAGGAATACAATCAAAGCAGATCTGCCAGGTGATTATCTCAGTTTTTCTTGAATGCTTCCAGTGTTGGAGCACTCACCAACTCCCGAGGTAACTGGTTCCACTGTCGTACTGCTCTAACAGTTAGGAAGTTTTTCCTGATATTCAACCGAAATCTGGCTTCCTTTAACTTGAGCCCATTCTTGTGAGTCCTGCACTCTGGGATGATTGAGAACAGATCTTGCCCCTTCTCTGTATGATAGGCTTTCAAATATTTGAAAAGTGCTATCATATCACCCCCTCAGTCTTCTTTTCTCAAGGCTAAACATGCCCAATTCTTTCAGCCTTTCCCCATAGGGCTTGGTTTTCATTGCCCTGATCATCCTTTTTGCCCTCCTCTGAACTTGTTCTAGTTTGTTAGCATCCTTCTTGAAGTTCCACCTTCTTGAAGCGTGGTGTCCAGAACTGGACAAAATACTCAAGGTGAGGCCTAAACAGTGCTGAATAGAGGGGGACTAGCACCTGCTCCCCACGTCCTGTTCCAAACTGATATAAAACAGGCATTTCTTTTTAGTTTGGCTCTAAATTCAGTGGTTCCTCTAGGAAATTACTTTCCATCCTGAAGCAAATAGTGAAAGTCGATGTATTGGATCCCGTTCATGCAAATACGGTTTCCTGATTTTGTAGCCTTGTCTGTGAAAAATTATTCCTGGGTTCTAAGTCCCAAAACAATATGGACTGACTTGGATAAATGCCGTCTGCTCTTGTAAAGTATTTGTTTCTTACTCTATGTTTGTTTTGTTTATTGTTTCAAACTACAATTTCTTTGTACTGACAGTTCTTAGACCTTTAATACTACTATATTATTGCCATTATTTATTATGTTTTTATTCCATTTTTCCTCCAGTATGCTCAAGGCAATGTCTTGGGCTCATCCATTCACCACTTTAACCTCACAACAACTTTGTGGGGGCAGATGAATGTGTGTGGGAATGTGATCAGCCCATGCCCCTCAGTGACATCCTAGTCTAGTATTCTGACTACTGCACCACATTGTCTCTTAAAAGGCTGCATTCCAATTGAAATAATGGCAAAAGAACGCAGAGAGAATTTATTTTACAAAATGAGGTTTTCAAAACCAGTCTGTAGAGGAACAGATGCTGTGCTCTGCATATCAATAATAATTGCCCAATAAATGCTTCTTAGCATTGTTTACAAGGTAACCTACATAATTATAAATTGAACAATTTACAACACTTAAAATACAACATCGTCATCTAATTGTTTAGTCGTGTCTGACTCTTTGTGATCCCATGGACCAGAGCACGCCAGGCCTTCCTATCTTCCACTGCCTCCCAGAGTTGTGTCAAAGTCATGTTGGTTGAAGCAAAGACATCACCTTGCCAACAAAAGTCTGAATAGTCAAAGCTATGGTTTTCCTGTAGTGATGTATGGAAATGAGAGCTGGACCATAAAGAAAGCTGATGCCTTTGAATTGTGCTGGAGGAGGCTCTTGAGAGTCCCCTGGACTGCAAGGAGAACAAACCTGTCAATTCTAAAGGAACTCAAACCTGAGTGCTCACTGGAAGGACAGATCCTGAAGCTGAGGCTCCCATACCTTGGCCATCTCATGAGAAGAGAAGACTCCTTGGAAAATACAATACAATTAAAAATAAAAATAAAAAAATTACAATAAAATTAGTAAAGTGGCAGATAGCAAAAACATTAACTGGCTTTGATCCCATTAATCAAAGAGCATAAGGCATGGTAAAACGACAGTTACAGCTGCCCAAATAAAATCCTTAGAATTATGACGTTTCCTTTAATAATAGAGCTTGTGGGATTCTCATGCAAAACAGCCTTTTAAGCTGTCACCCTTGAGTCCAACAACATACTGTACATGTGTTAGATGCAGGAATATAAGCAGGGCTTGGAATTGCATTTTAGCAGTTAATTTCTTATAAGTGAAAACATTCCTCCAGGAGATGATCATTCATCTAGGTCCAAACTTCGTTTAGACCACAAAGTCAGGAATTTAGCAGCCTTCTTGGGACAGATAGATGAAAAAGTGAGGTAGATCAAAGTGCCTTGTGGCACAATGGTTAAATTGCAGTAGTGTAACGAAGACTCTGCTCATGGCCTGTGTATCTGGGCTCAGATAGCTGGCTCTAGCTTGACTCAACCTTCCATCCTTCCAGAATCGGTAAACTGAGTACACAGCTTGCTGGGGGAACAACATGTAGCCTGCAGTTTAATCCCATGTGGAAGTGAATCTGTAGCTAGTAATTTTGACACCCAAAGGAAGCAGCACAAAATGTGTCCATAAAAAAGTTTTGTAATTCATAATGTGAAAATTATACAAGAGGTAAGTACAGCACCAAACACCTTGCCAGCATCTCCCCACAAAGGATCAGCAGCATTGTCAGAGCTACAGAGAAACAAATGAAATGTGTGTTTTATATTGCTTTTAATAACAATTACATACCATCAAGTTGATTTCACCTACTGGCAACCATTTTCAGAGTTTTCTAGTGAATATACAGACATTGTTTACCATTCCCTTTTTCTGGGACTATGCAGCTTGCCCAAGGCCCCACAGGCTGATTCTTCTCCCAGGAGGCACAGTGGGGACATCAGTCTCCCAACCTCTGGCTCCACAGCCAGGTACCTAAACCACTGAGCTATCCAACCAGCTGTTAATTTTGTTTAACATGCCATCAATATTAATGAGATGGCGTTATACTGCCCACACAATGCCAGAAACCTGGTCTATTGAGCTCTGAATAGACCTGGTGCCAACTACCTCAGTGGGGCTTAGTATACCAACCACCTTTCCTCTGCTCTTCTGTAGCAGCCTGGTCGACCGGCTGCATAACCTGCTGAAAATAGTTAATCCTGGAAGCCTGATCTACCACTGCCTTTTCATATGGTAGTAGAGTTGGCTGCTGAGCCAATCTCAGAAGTCTGGAGGGGGGGAAGTGCAGGTGCTCTAAATTTGGTGCCCTGTATGACAAAGTGCCAGTTGTCCAGTGCCCCCATTACAGCCCTCTGGCAAATTGGCAAATACAAAGGGATGAATCCGCAATTTCTTATGAATATTGCAATTTTTAAAAAATCCATCCCCATGTTTAATCTGGAACAAAACACAGTATTCCATTTTGGCAGTTCATTCTCATCTCTGTTCTAAATTATGTTACTGCACATGTTTGATTTGTGACTATTCTATAAGTCTGATAAGGTGTACTGAAACCAAATATTCTTAAAAGCAAACTGCCATGGTCTTTGTACAAACATGACCTGCTTCTGAAGCCACTGCAGGTTATATGCTGTTGCAACATAAAAGGGTACATAAAGGTTGTATGAGCTAAACCAGAGTTGCTGGCTCGTTGACTTTTTGATGTTGACCAGTACTCATCTACACTAAGATTCCTTTATTTGTCTTTTCTCTAATAAGCGAGAGTTTGATGTTTGAAGTTCATTTATGGATCTAGGCTTGTTAGCAAGTAAGAGCACAGATTTAAAAATCTAGTTTGAATGCATGACTAAGCGTTTACGTTCTGGTAGACTTCCGTCACTAAGTTGCAGGAAGAGCCAAATGAAAGCAGTTGGGCAGCATACTACAAGCACAATAATTATTTCTCAGCAGTTTGGGCAGTTGGTGCTAGTGTGGTCTGTATCTGGGCACCTGTAGCATGTTGAGGTGAGGTGGAATGGGCACTAGATTGAAGTCATGATTTCTGGTGAGAATGGGGCTCTTAGAAAATATCTCTTATCTGTGAAATGCAGGAGAGTACATGTTACACTGAACTTTTGATTTTTAAATTGGTTTTGAAATATAACACTGGTCAAATATCTGTACCATCTGCTTTCTGTTTGTAATAGGAGCACTAGATATTCTTTACATAGCAGACCATAAGCTACTTAATACTTGAAGAATTATCTGTCTGTGAATCCCTTGTGCTCTGTACAGCAAGTAGCATACATTACATGTAAAAAAGGAAATGGAAAAAAAGAGTAATGGTGCTAAGGAACATAGAATGATGTTATGTTCTAAATTCATCATTGTGCTAGCACCCAGTGTCTAGCATAGTGGTTCCCAACCTTCGTTCCCCAAATGTTCCTGGACTAAAATTCCCAGAAGCCTTCACCACTAGCAGCTGTGCTGGTAGTGAACATACTTTGAATATGCCTTATAAAATTGCATGCTATTTCCCTGAAGATACATGTCCCCTTTCTGGAAGATTTAAAGCACCCCTCTCTTTTTTTAATTCCTCCCATAATAGCTGTGAACTTTTGTTGACTGTAATTCTCCATATGTTACATTGTACTATCTGCCTGGGAAACCTGTACCGTGCATGCTCAGTTTATAATAAAGTCACTGTTTTTCCCATTTGAAAGGCCTCTTTTGAAGATCAATATTTCAACTCCTGCAGTCTGAATTCTTTCCACATTTAAAAAAAAACAGGTGGGACCAACCATTCTTTTTCAAGATAAGCAAGATTGGTATTTTCAGTTTATATGAACTATTTTAAATCGTGGTTCCTTCAGTGTTGTCTGTTTCTGAATGGGGGAACAGTTTTTCTTTTAAAGAAATCATAACTCAAAAACTGTTTGTCCAAACTTTCCCACATTTGGCACACAGCAAGAGCAGACAATTGTTATATTTATGCCCAAATTGGTGCTGATTCAAAGTTACACATTTTTGTTTGTGCTATTTCCATATCTAGAATTGCCTTGTAGAATGTTGATTGGTTATACTGCACAATAACATAGCTGCACCATATTTACTGAGATTCATTGTGCTGTAAATTCATTTTCGGTCACGGGTATGCAGTTACTTCAGAGTTTGGAAGTATACCTTGAAGGCTATCGTATGTCTGACTTAGCAGTTCTGAGACTTGAAAGTCCAATGTACTTCAGTGACATAGGTAGCTTAAGCTGTTTATTTTGAGGGCATATGGAAAAGAAACTATATAAACAGAAGGCATCATAGCTTTTCTTTTTTATGAATGCTGCTCAATATGCCATTTTTATTTCTTAAGCAGTTAATTTTGATTTATATTTTATTTTATACATGTTCCTATTCCATTCTTTCAGTAAAATATGATCTGTCTACCATAGCACCATAAATTCCTTGTATGTTACACCATGGGATTCAGATCAGTGCCTCCTCACTAAAGCTCTGTTTGGTGAGAGGGCCTCTGACAAGAGTCGTGGAAAAAGACAGGCAAGCAAACAAAGAGAGAAACAGTGGGAGGCAGACTCAGTGAGCAGAGAGTTTATTAAGGTGACTGGCTCCCTTGAATCACAAGGTGACGCATTAGGGACCAGTAATCTACTCACAAGCAAGAAGAGTAAAAGCAGGGAGCCAATACAACTGTAAAACTGCATGGGGTCGGGGAACCAGCTTGCTCTCCGATTGTCCCAATCTCTTCTTGTCAGAGAGTGAGCCAAGAACTAAGAATGAGAAGGAAGACAATTTGACTCACCCCCACCACTTTGGTTTAAGCCAGAGAGGCCTGCATTCCATCACTTGCACCTATCTGCATTGACTTTGTGACCACATGGAGTTTTCCAGTTAGGAATATATATGTTTGAAATTGTACCTTAGAGTAATTGGACTGAATCTTTATTTCTACAGGGAACATTTGCCGATCTCCCATAGCAGAAGCTGTTTTTAGAAAACTTGTAACTGACGAAAACATTGAAAACAAGGTAATTTTCATTTCAGTTACTGATGCCATCTTTTTTGTTAGTATCACATAAAAATTGTGTTTTGTTTTCCTGTAGTGGAGGATAGACAGTGCAGCAACATCCACATATGAAATAGGAAATCCTCCAGATTATCGAGGCCAGAATTGCATGAGGAAACATGGCGTTATCATGAATCATATTGCCAGGCAGGTACTGTACCCATCTTTCAGTAAATGTGCGTATGCATTTATGTTCTTATTCACAGTGGATGATAGACAGCGCTGCTGTTTCTGACTGGAATGTGGGACGCTGTCCAGACGCAAGGGCTCTAAGCTGTCTGAGAAATCATGGCATTGAGGCGGCCCATAAAGCACGACAGGTAGAAAGAATCTGTTGAAATGTTTTTCAGAAAACTTGAAAGTGTATCATTTCCCCCACCAGTTAATAATGATTATGTTAGATAAGTAAATGAACAAAATACGTGGCAGCCAGACTGGTGTTGGGTCTGAATAAATTTGACTACATCTCACCAGTTCTGGTTCACCTGTATTGACTTCTTGCCTTCTAGGCCAAGTTCAAGTGTATAGTTCTTGTATAGAAAGCCCTTAACAGTTTGGGGCCCCATTATACAGTATGTCAGAACGTCTCTCCCTCAGAACATCAGCCCATACCACCTGTTTTTCTCAGACTGTACTTCTTTGGGTTGTCACGCCGAGAGGCACAAAAAACAAAAAGACTCTCACCAAAAATAGTGCCTTCTCAGCCGTGGCCCCATCCTAATGGAATGGGCTCTTGGTAGAAGTGTGTCAGCCCCCCTCCCTCCTATCCTTTAAGAGGAGGCTGAAGATTGTCTTGTTACAAGAGCTCAGGATTTATCCCTAGGCAACTTCAGGATTCAAAGGGAGGGGGATGAGAAAGGGATGCCATTCAAAGATATTCACAGAAAGGTCTCAGTTAAAAAACGTACAGTATGTGTAATTTAGTCATTCTTCGTAATTTTTTCTCATGTTCTTTAGTCAGGCTATGCCTAATGTCTTTATCTCTGTGACATTTGCAATGCACAAAGTATATATCACTTGTTGCATTCATAGTTTGCCATTCTTGAGCCCTCCAAAAGTTATAATTCTCCTTTAAAACGAGGGTAGTCCCTGTGCCTTGTTTTACCTCCAAAAGGGTTTTTATGTAAATAGGCATGAATTTCTGGTTTTGCTTTGGGGTGTAATGTTGCCACACTGGATTGGTGTGTAAGTGTGTGTTAATAAAGAATTGATCACTCAAACCTTTCCTGCTCAGGACTGTGATAACTGAAACAAAATACAAGGAACCTTGTGCAATTTCCAGATTGCTTTATTATGACACATTCATATTTTTTCCATACATGCAGAGGACCCAAGCCTATTTACTGAAGATATAAATCATTTTAAGTTAAGAATATAAGAACTACTACAGGTTTACATTAAAAAAACCCGGGTTTTTAGATGCATGAACTTTTAAAACAGATTAAAATAAAATATATATAAATTTCAAAAGCAGCTTCTTGTGTATCATAGAAACGCTTTTAAAGTTTTAGACTGCAATTCTATTTCTGCTTAAGAATCTAATGTCAACTTTCAGTTGTGCAATTGTAGCAGTAAAATTGTTACTTAGCAGTGTGTTAATATTGCATGTAGATGACATGAATCTCAACTACTAAACTCTATCCAAACATTTTTGTTGGGTCTTAGGTTACAAAAGATGATTTCTTGACGTTTGATTATATGCTGTGCATGGATGAAAGCAACCTCCGGTAAGTTGTGGGAAAATGTGCTTTTTGGTACCTGTTATTTAAAAAATGAAATGTGCCATGCTGGATTGAACCAAAGTCTTCTCTAGTGCAACATTCTGCTTGGTTATGGGAGCCTGCTGGCATGACCAAAATTGCAATTGTATTCTTCGTTTCTCCTTCACCAGCAACTCATATAGTTGTGCTGCACCTGGCAGTAGAGATTATATGCAGCAGTCCTGATTGGTGGCCATCAGTGCTCCAACTTCCATTAATTTGTATCCCTTTTAAAGCCATCCAGGTAATCCTCACTACGTCTTGTAGCATTGAATTCCACAGTTTCACTAGCCATTTCATGAGAATGCCCTTCCTTTTACCTGTCATAAATCTCCCACCACTCAGCTTTAGTGAGCTGACTCCAGATTCTAGTATTACAAGAGAAGAAAACAGCCTCTCTGCTTTCTCCACAGCATGCCTAATTTTGCATGTTATCCCTGGGTCTCTTCTTGCCTTCCTTTTTCTTGATAAACCAAATAATCCCAAACACTGTGTTTCCTCTTGTGGTTTGAATTTTAGAATTAAAGTGCTTATGTACTACATATGGTAGAAATTAACATCCTTAAAGCATATTCACACAATGCTTTCTTCTAGATCAATTTCTAAAAGTGATTGCGAGAAAGCAGACATGGTGGGGTTGTGTTTTTTCCATACCAGTAATCTACTCTTCCTGCATGAAAATAATGTCAGGATTATTTTACAACAAGAGAAGCTGCTAATGGAGACCCTGCCAGCATGCCCTCTTGCCCAACAGAATCACTGGGCTGTGATACTCCTTGTTTCACACTAGGCCATAAAGGTTAAAGGCCAACAATGAAAATGATTAAAACCATTTAGCCTTTTGTCAGAGCCTCATTCCTATGTGTATGTGCTGTGAATTAGATAGTATCATTGATGCAGTCTGTAAAGTCAGGACAGCCCACTGTTAAAGCTGGTTTTCTTTATGCCACACTGATGCTAAAGGGGAGGGAGAATGCCACACATAACCAGAAAATTGTCTGATCTTTATAATGCAGAGATCTGAAAAGAAAAAGCAACCAAATCAAAAACTGCAAAGCTAAGATTGAGCTCCTCGGTAACTATGATCCACAGAAACAGCTTATTATTGAAGACCCATACTATGTAAGTATCCTAGACTGTTTAGCTCAACTCAAAATTATCACTGTATGATACCATAATGGCACCTGTTTACAACTTCAGTTGGTTAATTTGATCTTTCTTCTTTTTTCCCCATAGGGGAATGATGAAGATTTTGAAACTGTTTACCAGCAATGTCTTAGATGTTGTAAAGAGTTCTTACAGCAGCCTCATTAATGAAGTTCATTGTTTCTGAGAGCAAATAATATTTAGCAATTCTGTAAAATTATTAATTTAAAATCTTAATTGATATTAAATTGTAATATTGCATAAGTAAAATAGATTTCGTTTGAACATTTTTAGTCTCATATGGCCTCTATTATATGTATCATACATGATAAGTCATTTTAAAAATGATTATATGTACTGTACATGCAAGGAAAAAATGTCCGGCATTAAGAGAGAGAAAAAAGTGAATGATACAAAGTGTTCATGCTATATGTACTTTGTATAAGAATTTCTATATATATACTCTTAGCCATGGCATACTTGTATGTTTTCCTGATACTGCTGTTTGAAAATAGAATTTCTAACCCTTAAGATCAATCTTAAAACTATATTTATGCATTGAAATGGCATCAAACATACCTGTATGATTTCATGTTTTATTTCATCATTTCAGGTACCAAAATGGTATATTTTATATCCATTCGTTGCTGTTTACAAGAATTATGTAAGAGTGTAAACCAGCAGATAAATAAATTATGCATTTTTGTCACAGTGATGCATTCTAGCTCTTTAGAGTAGCTGATGTGTCAATTTCACCATTCTCCATCAATATAGGAAATGCTTAAAATGTGGTATTTGGTTGATAGATGAAGTATTTAGATAATTCATTTTTAGCTTGTAAAAAATATTGCCCGAATGGCTATTGACATAATGCTTTTAGAAGACTATAATTATTTGTTTGAAGTGCAGGAGGGTTGAGGACAGCTGAATATGTTCATTGTTCTCATCAGCTTCTTGCTACTACTCCATACTAACACAAGCAGAATAAATTGCATAAATGTGCTTAGATTATGTAAGGTATACAAACTATGAAAATCTTATTACTGTGGCACAGAACGTTCACTTTATGTTTTCAACACAATGCTGATTACACTCTGTTGAAGACCAGAATGTTTTGAGTGCCAAAGGATGGGATTAAAAGGTGAGTAACGGCCTCCGTGTTATTTATACCCCATCCTCAAATGTTTCAAGAACATTTTCCTTTCTCCTGTTTGGAGGAAATGTAGAAGCTGAATTTTCCAGCTAAACTTCTTCAATTTACAGTTTTCAAGTTAGTTTGTATGGATAACAGCTATGGTTTTTGGATTGTTTTATGTTTTATGCTTTTGCCCCTGTATCTTTGCCGCATCGCAGTGCTGCCCTTTCTGGCTATTTTAATGCAGAAACTAAGTTTCCTTCATGATGTTCTTCCTGCTCCGCCAAACTCATCCTTATGGTCAAGATGTTTTCGGCAGCACCAGTTACTGATACTCTTTCTATATCACTATATTGTTTTCAAGAAGTTTTCATGTTGTCCTTTAAATCTTTGTTCAAACCCAAAAGTGGTGCATTTGGAAGGCTGTGTTTTGTCTCCTGTGGATCCCTTCACATCCCTTTACAGCCTCTGGACATTTTGGAGGGATTTCAGAGAGTGTCTGGAAAACCCCACAGACTGCACTTTGCCCCCCTTCCTGCCCCCAGTGCTGAAGGGACCACCTGTCAGAATTCTGCCACTTCTGAATTCTGACGTGTGAAGCGTTACACAGGGAACACAGATGAAATTTTTCTATGGAGTACAATGTCACTGCCTACACTGGTAGGTCTGGCTTACTAGGCGAAGCAAGGGTTTGATAATAAATCAAGTCCTTGTGCCAAAGTCAACATATCTGGGCATGATAATATGTGATTCTGAGTTGATGCTGTCAGGTTGTTGTCTCTCATTTCCCTACCCATTTCTCTCCCTTGAAAAGCCCTTCCTTATTGCTGCTTGAAAATAGAAGCAAAGAAAACTTATTTTCCACTGAAACATGCAGCCATTACATATTGGAGAGCAGTGAAAGATGTAAGATGTATCTGCGAAAGGCTTCTGTTGAACTCCAAAGTGCCTCTGTGTAAAGGGTTGCTGGATATAACACATTAATGCATGTTGAAGGAAAGTGACGTGAATAATCGTTTTGTAAATAATGGGCGAGCGAGGCATTCCTGGTTATCTTCAATCCATGCAGTGTAATGCTGTACAGCTGGCTGTTTAAAAAACAAAACAGTGTATTATTTTTTAAAAAGCTACTAAGATCTGTATCGTCTACCAAGTGGTATTAATAAATCGAAGTTGGACACATGAAGAGATGAACTTGCTATAATCCCTTGGGGCCTAGAATAATTCATGCTACTGTTTTGAGTATTCCTCAGTAAGCATAAACAATAGGATACTGAATTCTTCCCCTGCCTCCAGATGCACTGCAACAAACCCAGTCATGGCCTTTAGGAACAGCTTGCATGGCGTGGCCTTAGGAAAGAGTGAAGCTGCTATATTTTCCTGAGCAACATGAATAAGATTTCTCTTGAAGCTAATAGACAGGAATGTTGAAGCATGTCTGGCTAAAGACTGGTCTGGTAGAGGGAAGAAAATACAGATACCAGTAGGCATGGCAGGGGTAAAGATTCTGGAGGGGAGGATTTTTTAAAAAAAGATTAGATCCACATTTTGCTCCAGTTTCTCCTTAAGGACCAAGCCTCTGGGGTTTGCATTGCATCAGAGCTTGTTGTGTTAAGGAGGAGCTGTAGTTCAGTTCCAGAGCTTTTGAAAGCAAAAGGTTGCAGAATATGTAGGACAATAAAGATTCTATAATCATGGAGAACTGGCACTAGTCATTGTTGACAATATGGGGCTAGACTGAACAACTGTGTGACAATATAAAACAAAGTGCAAAAGGTTTATAGCTCTTGGCAGTGTCTTTCAATTTCCATTGATCTATCCAGTACTGCTGTAGGAATCTATTTCATATTTTAATAAAGCCCTAAAACTAGTAATTAAAGATACTGTATATAAAGATATTGTAGCTATAGTAATTATACTCCATGTCTGTGATGTGACAAATAAAGCAGTGCAAAGATCAGGTTATGTTTTCATTTCATGATATGGCCAGTTGCTTCTTAAATACATATTCAAAATAAATTATGCATAAAATACAGATACACATCTGAAGCATGGGATGTTATTTTATGGCTGCTGTCACATTTCCAGGCAGAGAAAAACCTTGTAGTCTGACCTTGAAGGGTTATGGTTCTTGAATGCTTCATATAGTTAAGATTGCTTTCATTAACTGGGCCCCATGGCAACAGCATACACTCCTGATGGGGAAAAGATATGAACAAGGCTTGTCTTACCTTCATGGATTACATCTGCACAGTCAAACTGGTTAAATAGTTTGGTCTAGCAAGTCTTGACCAGCTGGTATAGCCAATCGTGTTTATGAAATGCCTATTTTATGCCGTTTAATGTGATTTGACGAACAATTTTTACATTTTTTAAATTTAAAATATTTTTACCCTGCCTTTCTCCTCAAAAAAACCCAAGGTAGCTATCACATTCTGATAGTATTAGTAAAGTCTCAAATGAGCATCTCTTGTTCCAATTTGGGAATAAATCCCTCTATTTTGCTTAGTCTGTGGTGCAGTGGGAACAATCTCATAACAAATGAATTATGTCGACCACCCGGAATGTGTGTCTTTTATCTGTGATGTCTCAGGATCTCATTTCTGCTTGTCTTGGACAGAACTAAGGTTGTGAAGAGGTACTGAAAAGCTAACAGTGCTGTCAGGAGTGGGAGTTTTTGCCTCATTCCTGGTAAATTGATGGGGAGCTTTAGCAAAGCCAGATCTGTGAGGCATACAGAAAGCATCTTGCCTTTGGAAAGGAAACTGGCTTACTCAGCAGTGCTTCAGAAGTAACTCAGATTTGTAGCTAAGAGTGATCAAATATGCCTATTATACAGTACTTGGATTTCCAGTGAGCTGTTGACAGTACTTTATCAAAGGTTCATGTGTAAACTTACTCATGGGACAAAATAATAGGTGCTGCTCTATTAGTAACAGGTTGAAGTAAGGAAATGAATGGGTAGTTTTACAACAAGAGGAATGGCTTCAGTAGGGCTCCTGAGGAGTCTTTCTTTGGATCTGGCTTGTTTTATTTATAATTTATTTTCTTCTCCCACAGTGCTGAACCCTCAGAGACCCTCTTGGGGGTTACTCAGTGAAGTGATCAGTGATACATGCAAAACATGCAAAAAGCCGCATAATTAATAATTTGAATAGTTTTGGGTTGTGACATATGGTACTGGCTTTATTACAGGGTTAAGCAGATTCATCAAGGATGGGCCTAGCAGCAGCTATTAACTATGATAATGAAAAACCTCTGTGACCACAGGCTGTATGCCATTGAATCCCATTACTTTGCTATTCAAAGCAAATGAGTTTTGCTGGCCAATGAGCTTTGCAGAAAGAGCTATGCACTTATTTGCCATATTTTTTTCCCTCTCCATTCCTCCAAGGAGCTCATGCGACCATTTGTGATTGGTTAGGCTGAGAGGTGGTGACTAGGCCAAAGTCGCCCAGTGACATTCATGGCCAAATGGAGATTTGTCTGATCTCATCCAACAGCACTCTTGGATCATTCCCTCTCCCAGGCCCCTAAGAGTCAGTAGACTTTCCCAGCTGAAGGGGTGACACAAAGGAGGTGTGCATAGTTTTGCATTGTCCTGCACATGGGTTGGAGCTTTCTCTATCCTTGCAACCTTAAAGGAAAAAAAAAAGAACCATTTGTGCACATGACTCAGGCTCATTCTCTGTCTTCCTCTGCTGAGCTGTGTCTTGCTGAGGCTCAAGGCAGTGGTCGTTGTTTTGTGGTGGACAAAATCAAAAATCCGAGCAATAGTTAGCATGACTGTGGCAAAATTAAAGGTGGTGACAAACAACTTGAGATGTGGTTATTATAAAAGAACTATTTGCAAGAGTCCTGTTGAAGCATTTCCTTGAGTAGCCTTTGTATCTGTTATGTTTATCACATCACTTTAAAAAAATATATAATCATCCTCATCCACTTAGAACTGCAGAGCTGGAAGGGACCCTAGGGACCATCGAGTCCAGCTCCTGTCAAGGAAACAGTGGGGAATTGAACTCCCAAACTCTGGCTCAGCAACCAGTTACCTAAACCGCTTTGCATTGGACTTCCCAAGACCATAATATTCAGGCACAGCCAAACATTATATCCAAACATTTTATTTCTTATATGTGCTATTTACAGTATTTACATATTGCACATTTAGCTGGAATGTTTATACCTCTATCGTACAGAAAACAGATGGCATTTTAGAGTGGATACAGAATCTGGGAGTTAAACTTGTTTGTCCCTTGCATGTCATACAGTTTGCAGTCCACAAGTCCAATGTAACAGATTTATGGAAAGGTTGTAATGAAATGGTTGAGTTCCATAAGCAAAAAAGATGTCAGGTGTTCCCTTCTTTATAGAAAGTTTTCCTTGAAAGTGTCTCATCGTGTCTCAGAACGAAATATATTCATGTTGGGAAAGTTGATACTCATTCAATTATCTTTTTTGTTTTTATTTTGGCAATGCAACACTTCTGTTGTAGGGCTGCTTCAAAATCTGATACATTTTAGGTTGCTTTGGTAGTGTTTCTGCCAAAGAATGTGTATCTGTAAACAGTGGCGACAGTATACAAAACATATGTTTAAAGATTTATGGGAAGTAGTCCATGAATTTGCAAAAATAAATCTCTTCACAATTGAATATGTTACAAAGATGTTGCTTCATTTCCCTGTTGGTTTCCAAGGCACTTCACTTGGTTCTGTTTCTGTCTATATTTTTTATGATAGTAGTTATCATCTGAAGCAAAATAAAACAAAAAGAGCAAAATATTATTTTTCATTTCTCATAAAATGTTAACATATTTCACTTTTTCATACAGTTGTGTCTGAGGAAATGGATTTTGATCCATGAAAGCTCTGACAGAAACAGACTTCAAGGTGCTGCAATATTTTGCCCTATATGCTTTGGGGTGGTTTTCCCCTTTGTTTTCTGTTTTCATGGGGTTTTGGTGGGAGTTTTTTGGGCCGAATTTCAACATACAATCTGACTTCTTAAGTAATCAGGTTTCCTGTTCCTCTGAGTGGCTGGAGGCTTGGGTAGCTGAGAAAAGCCTTTCAAACTTGATGGATGGAGACTACGGATGTCTGAAGTATATACTGTATTTGTGCTTCTTTTGAAATACAGGTATTCCATTGCTTACGGCCACAGTCATTATGCATGAATCAGACTGGTTGTTTCTACTTTTTGAAGACTGAACTAAACTGGTTTTAAATAATATTACCAAAAAGTATGGAATAGACAAAATTAAAACAAGTATGACTGGCTACAAAATGTTGCAGTATGGATGTTCCCAATTTAGAATTCCCACATTTCTTTCCCTTCTATCACTACCAAGCATGCTCAAATCCTTGTTTTTTAAGAAGTTCTCCCAGGGTTCATTTCTAAACATACTCCATACTTTAGGGTCCCCTCTCAAGCCTGATTAATGCTTTCCTCTGAATGGAGCGTATCATTTTAGCTACATCAGCAGTAACACTCACAATCTGAATATCACAAATAAAAGGAGATAATACTGAGCTTCACCCTCAAAGTACTTCAGTATTAGTACATTAAAAGTGAACACATTGTTCAGAGGCTAAGATTCCTATAGATGTACTGATTTCAAGAAAGAAGAATGTTTGGGGGCTTGTTTTAGAACATCTCTATTTAAGTTATTGTGGTTAAGCAGGTATCACACCTGTCCACATATATATCAAGTTTTATTAAGGTATGCATAATCTGTTGCTGCAGACATCTATTGTCTGTACAGAAAAGGGATGCTAACTCCAGGCCTGTTGTACCTCGTGTTCATTGTTTTAAAAAAAGCAAGGAAAGTTAATTCACTATTCGCTAGATGCATCTATCAATAATAAAGAAAAATGAGTCTTTATGCTGTTTTCCAAAGGGCAGTGGTCCCCAACCTTTTTGGGACTGTGGACCGGTCGGGGGGGTGCGGGATCTGTGCAACACGAGTAGGGCAGTGGTCCCCAACCTTTTTGAGACCGTGGACCGGTTGGGGAGGTGCGGGATCTGTTCAACATGCCCCTCCGCAAGCGCGACACGCTCACCCGTGAGCGCAACATGCCCCCCTCACAGGCGGGTGGAGGTCCATCTCCACAGCTGAGTTCTAGGAAACCCACAGACCGGCAGTAGGGGACACCCTTTATTTATGGCCAGTGTGTGGTCCCCAACCTTTTTGAGACCGTGGACCGGTTGGGGAGGTGCGGGATCTGTTCAACATGCCCCTCCGCAAGCGCGACACGCTCACCCGTGAGCGCAACATGCCCCCCTCACAGGCGGGTGGAGGTCCATCTCCACAGCTGAGTTCTAGGAAACCCACAGACCGGCAGTAGGGGACACCCTTTATTTATGGCCAGTGTCTTGCCAAATATAGTGTTACGTTACACTCCCTAAACCAGTGGTGGCAAACCTTTTTGGGCCTGAGTGCCCAAACTGAATACAAACAAACAAAAAATCCTGCAGGCTGCAGTGGAACCGGAGGTGGCGGTAGAAGGGGAAATCCTGGGGACGGAGGTAGGTGCCTTGAGACCCCACTCCAGATCCGTTGCCAGAGCCAGCTGTTCTGGACCTCGGCCCGCCGCCTGTCAAAGCGACAGCACTGCAGTTGCAGCTGCCTCCTGAGGTTTGGCTGCAGGGGCAGGGGAGTAGTGATCAGGCAACTTATGGCTTGCATCCTCACAGAAAGGGCTCTGTGACACGCATGCCATAGGTTCGCCATCGCTGCCCTAAGCTATTGTTAAAAAACATGCCTACAATGGAGAGGTTGCTATGCAAATATAGGCAGTTTGCAAATGGTTCTTTCAAAAAGCTTACCTCATCCTTCCATGCACATTGGACTTACTGCCAACCGTGTAAGAAGCCTGGCACACCTTTTATAGTCTGTAGTGAAAAAAAATCACAGTTGGAAGTTCACAAAAAAGTTGTTATAGGGTTTCTTTAACTTTTCAAATGAGCAGCTTGTACAAGAAAGAGCAAACTCATTGTGATTAATTTTTAATTCATTTATTGTATTTCAAAATTGCAGATTTAAAGTTGTGTACTTAAGAAGCTGGCTTTGTATAAATGTAGTGTTCAGAGCTTTTTAGAATCATAGAGTTGGAAGGGGCCTATAAGGCCATCGAGTCCAACCCCCCGGCTCAATGCAGGGATCCAAATCAAAGCAGACCTGACAGTTGGCTGTCCAGTTTTCTCTTGAATGCCTCCAGCATTGGAACGCTCACCACCTCCTGAGGTAATTGATTCCACTGTCACACTGCTCTAACAGGAAGTTTTTCCTGATATTCAAGCAAAATCTGGCTTCCTGTAGCTTGAGCCCATTGTTATGTATCCTGTACTCTGAGATGATTGAGAACAGATCCTGCCCCTCCTCTGCATGACAGTCTTTCAAGTATTTGAAAAGTGCTATCATATCACCCCTCTGTCTTCTTTTCTCAAGGCCAAACATGCCTAGTTCTTCAGTCTTTCCTCATAAGGCTTGGTTTCCAGCCCCCTGACCTTCCTTGTTGCCCTCTTCTGAATGTGCTCCAGTTTGTTGGCATCCTTCTTAAAGTGTAGTATCTATAACTGGACACAGTACTCTTGATGAGTCCTAAGCAGTGCATAAAGGGTTGTTTATATGCAATCCTATGTGCACTGTTCAGATAGGGAAAAAAAAGCACTGGCCTTACATCCAGGTAAATATGCACAGGATCAGGGGACCTGTCTTTTTTAACAGAGATTGAAGTGTCTATTAAAACATCGTATGTAATTGCCCTGCCAATGAATACATGCTGGAGAAGTTTATAGTGCATTAATGGGCAGGTTAGGTATGCAGATAGTAAGTATGACATTTTGATATTCACCTCTTAGTCTTACACCAGAATGAAATAAACGACCGCTCATGCACATTGTTTAATAACTAGCACAAAAAAGAGAGATAATTTGCTGTTGAGAACTAGAAAGACAAAGAACTGATACTGTTCACCTTTCTGTTTGTAGTGGTTCCCTAGGCGATAATAGGGAGAACCAGTGTGGTACAGTGGTAAGGACTGGAGAAATAAAGGTTCTAGTGTCCACTAAGCCATGAAACACACTAGACTCGGTAACACCGGGCCAGTTACTCTTTTCTGTCAGTCTCATGTTCCTCATAGAACTGTGAGAAATGTTGCAAGCTCTTATTTGCTACCACATGGACCATGTAGACACACTCAAGGCCTCAGGATTGGGACTCGGGTCCTGCCAGATGCATGCTTGTTGTTGCTTGATAAAAGGTCTGGATGAAGGACAACAAAATGTCCTGAAACATCTACCCTTGGTGGAGTCTATTAATAAGATAAAAATCTGTAGCGGGCAGATCCTACCTATTGCTCTTATGGATGATCTGCCCCCATAGAGTGTATTGGTAGTCAGTTTTATGAAAACTACAACTGATAAGGTTCTATTTATGGAGTCCTGACATGTTTATTTGAGGCCATCTGGTTTAATGCCAAGGAACAACACACTTCCTGGTATTCAAAGCTCAATATTTGGCCTTTACAAATACCAAGTTTAGTCCAGTAAAACAAATCATTGTTTCTAATGCACCCATTGATGTGTATCTGACTTGCCTGTGCAAGTAGCTTTTAGCAGTTGCCAGGAGAGAATAAGGAACCATAACCTGAAATCAAAAACTGTTGGATGAATTTTTCTTCTGAAAGGAGTTGAAAGAGAATTGGAACTGAAGATTCTAGTATCTACTGGTAGGCAGTAGGAATGCTCTAAATATGATATTTCTTACTTTAGAAAGATTTGGACAAAGCGTCCCATGACATTCTACTTATCAAGCTAACTAGGTGTAAGCTAGATAGAGCAATTATTAGGTAGATCCACAGTTGGTCACAGAATCATATTGAGAAAGTGTTTATCAATTGCTTCTTCTCAAACTGGGAGGAGGTAACAAATGGGGTACCCCAAGGATCAGTCCTGGGCCTGCTGATCTTCAACATTTTTATTAATGATTTGGATGGGGGTTGCAGGGGATGCTTATCAAATTTGCAGATGACATAAAATTGGGTGGAAGACTGTGGAAGACAGAAACAAAATTCAAAAATATCTTGATTAGGTTCAAGCACTGGGCTGAAAACAACAATGAAATTTAACCACAGTAAGTTCAAAGTTCCAAACCTGAGGGCAGGGAGGACACAAATGTGCCATTAGAAGATGGGGGGAATAATTGGCTCAGTGATACTGTGAGAAAGAAATTGTTTTAGATCACAAGCTGAATGTGAGTCAACATTGTGGTACAGCTGCAAAAAAGGCAAATGTTATTTAGGCTGCATGAACAGAAGTATAGTCCCCAAATCTCATGAGGTACTAGTTTCTTTCTATTTAGCACTAGTTAAGCCCCATCCTGAATACTGTGTCCAGTTCTGGACACTGTACTTAACAAAGATGCAGACAAACTGGAACAAGTTTAGTGGAGGGTAACAAGGATGGTCGGGGGACTGGAAATCAAGCCCTATGAGGAAAGATTAAAAGAACTGGGCATGTTTAGCCTTGAAAAAAGAACACTGAGGGGAGCTATGATAGCACTTTTCAAATATTTGAAATATTGCCATACAGAGGATGGGCAGGGTCTGCTCTTGATCATCCCAGAGTTAATAGGCTCAAGCTATAGGAAGCAAGATTTAATTTGAATATCAGGAAAATTTGTTAGTGCAGTTCAACAATGAAAAACTGTTACCTCAGGAGATCCTGAGTACTCCAACACTGGAGGCATTCAAGAGAAAGTTAAGACAAGCATCTGCCAGGTAAACTTTTATTTGGATTCCTGAACTGAGCAAGGGGATGGACTTGATGGCCTTATAGGCCTCTTCCAACTTCGTTATTCTATAAATCTATGAAATTTATATACTGCCCTTTAATAATTCCATCATTGCATTATAGAAACAATATTTTTAAAAAGAGGACCATAAAAGAGAGAATACCAAACAGAATCCACAGTTATGTTTACTAGGTATTCTATAACTGTAAGTATACGTATATGGCATTTTGAGTTCTCATGGTTTAAATGAAGTAAAAGTGGTGGTGGTGGTGATGGGGAGAAACAGAAAGCCCCAAATGCCTTCTGTCATAAATAAGCAATGGGTGGACTTCATTTTCAAATAATAATGGCCAGCTGCAACTGAGCTCCATCTCTTGCTTTGGGAAAAAATGCAGATTCCTGAAAAGTATAAGTAACTGTGATGGGAGCTGTTTCATTTCAGTGTATTACCTTTTCAGAATGGTGTGCATAGGGAAAAAGAAAAAAAAAGAAAGAAAGAAAAAGAAAAGAAATGCAATAGTGACAAAGAGTTAATTGTATTCTTAGAATCGTGGTTTAAGACTGGGCTCTGAAGAAACTACGGGGAAAATGCAACGTTTTAATAACATTTTAACACCAATAGTGACTCTTTCCAACTGTAGAGCTGGAAAATGGTTTTTAAACTGTCTTTTAACAAATGTGCTGCAAAACTAAAACACATTGGATTTATTGATTTGTGTTATCTGATGAACTATTAAGTTCCAAGTTATTACATTGTAAACTCAAGGAGTTGACATATAATTGGAGCCCAAATTGGCTGCTCGCAGAAAGAATATTTTAAATGACAGTTTATGAAATTAGAGCCATTAGGAGTCTCACAGAAATGGCAGCAACAGCAATTTAAAATGTCTTCTCAATGAGTGCAATGCTATGATTACCAAATGTGGGGTGACATTTTGTTCAAACTTACAATAATGAGGATAGATCCACATTTGAACCATGTTATAACTTAGCAATAGTCTGCTGAATTGCCGTAATTAGAAGTTCCTTCAATCAGATACCTTCCAGACGTATTAAACCACAACTCCCATTGCAATTGGAGACATAGGCTGAGGATGCTGGAGCTTGTAGTCCAACACGTCCAAAGAGCACCACATTGCAAAGTTTGTCTTAAAGGAGCAGAATGAAAACTGCAGTAGGTGACAGCTCTTAAGAATGACATTCAGTGACTGGCCATTGGTTCTAGCCTCAGATGGTGGGACTTACATGCAGGGATAGTACAGTCTCTTGTATGATGGTATAGTCTATGAAAGTGCTTAGTGCATTTCGGACCAAAATAAAGATGACCTGGAGGGGAAAAAAGGAACAGTGGATGAGCTGAATCAGAATGGTCAGAAAGACTAGAATGTGTAGATCTTCAAATTCTGCTTACCTGTTAAGTGGTTTAAAAACTTGTCTTTCACCCTCAGGTCTCTAGGAACTATTTCTGTCGAAAGGAATGAAGGACATTTACTACTAGAATCATCATTCACATTCAGTTACCTTGGTTTTCAGAACAGGGTAAAATTTAAAACTGGTTAAAAGGGACAGGGGTATTTTCAAACATCTTACATTCTGAAACAATCCATTTCCTCCCATGGAGGCTAAGATCCTTTTGCGCAACATATGCAACTAGGATTATGTAATCAGCTGCAGCCATTGCTGTGGCAGTTTCAGGGCAACTAAAAGACCTCTTAACTACCCCAAGGTTCTGGCTCCTCCCTAGGCAAGCCTTCAGCAACCACGGAACGGGGGTGGGCGGGGATGATTTCAATCACTGCCACTGGTCCTGCTGTGAGGGGGGCAGATTTTCTGGCTTTAACCTGTGCCCACCTCTTTGGCTCTCAAAGGCTGCCCCAGGACAAAGTGGGTGGGATGGAAAGTATTTTATTACCCTAAAACAGCCACAGCATGGCTGCACTTTACGACAATATCCGAGCTGCTCACAGCAGCTGTGCCAACAGGATTTCAGCCAGAAACTTTGGGTACCAAAAAAATTGCTAGTTAAATGTTGCTTCAGCCAGAAAAGCATTGGGTACCCATTGGCAGAGGGTAATATAACTGCAAATTTAATCAATTAATCTGTTAAGCTAATTAATGAGGAAGCATCAAGTACCGTATTTTTCGCACCATAAGACGCACTTTTCCCCCACAAAACAGGGGGGTGGAAAGTCTGTGCGTCTTATGGAGCGAAGAAAACAGATTATATTTTCCTGTTTTCTTCTCCTAAAAAAATGATGCGTCTTATGAAAAGGTGTGTCTTATGGAGCGAAAAATACGGTATATTACATATACCTGATAAATATATGCCCTGGTTGTGCACGGCCATAAGTTCTTTTGGGTATGCATGTTATTATGCATATTAACTTTGCAATAGAATGACCTTTGAATTTTATAAATGGACGTATTTTTGTATGTGTAGTTATTTGGACACACGGTTATCTTTCACTTATATTTACACTTAGTTTTTTTCCAGACTCTGTCTTTTTAAAGTTTGTTATTCCTGCTATTTTATTCCTTGCCTCTTTTTTGTTTGTTTGTTTGTTTTGGGCTTTTAAAAAAATCTGTTTGTGTGTGTTATGATTTAAGCCTGTATTTTTCAAAAAAGTAAATAGATGGGGAAACCCTTGAATATCCCTGCCAAAAACAAGTTTAAACAATGTATAACTTTTAATACAAGTACCTACAAAAATGTTAAGTAGCATCTACTATTTTAGAAATTCCCTTGCATTCTCTCACATATAGGAGAGGATGCCTCTTCTCATGGTGGCTAGAAGACATCCATCACTTAAAAACCAGGTTGGATTTTTGTGTGCAAATTGTATATCCACATTGTTCAGTGGATTGTGTTCCGTATGTCAAAACTAAATAGTTGGATTTGGAAGCTGATGATACCATGAATTGAGCGACCTCCAAAATGCCCTGTAATCAAGAGGCCTGCTCAGCTCTTGCAGTCTCAAGTCCCTGGCTTCCTTTATGGAGCCAACTAATCAAACTACACAACACATACTGTAACTTTCCTACCTGCCCACCCCTTGATTTCCATGGCTGATCTGTCATGATGTGCCTGTGGCACTTTGGAGGGAAAAGAATCTTGACCACTGTAGTTGCTGCTGGAAAAGCTATTTGATATAAAGTGTGCCAGAGAGTGTCACTTGAGCTAAGGCTACACACATCTGGCTGATGAAGAGCATGTAGGACACTTTATTGAACTGCTGAGTCCATTCCTGTTTTGTATCACTGCATAATATTGTTTGCACATTATGGGCTTTCAAATGACACTGTGTTTATGTAGATCAGCTGAGTGATTTCACAGTATCCAATGGGAACCAAAATGCTGATGCTTAGCAAGCTCATGATTAATGGAAGTGTCCACAAAACATATAAATCCACTTTCATCTCAGAGGCTAGCTGTTCTTCCATGCTTGTATTATCAGTTCACATACAATTAGATGCCTTTATACGTACATCCTAACTTACCCAGAAGTGTAGATGGCCATAATAAACAAAGGCAACCTGGACTCTGACTTACTAAATATTTAGGTTGCCATTATTTCCATGATTTCAGTTCCTCAGGCCATTATCTAACTTCCAGGACAGGCGAATATTGCCTTTATAGGAAGTGGAACCACAATATTCAACAAAACCTTGGGGCTGAGGAGACATTCAGTAAACAACTTTGTTCTTTGTTCCAGCGGTTTGCTTTCCCACATCTTGTATTCAGTGTCAGTGGGGGAGGAGGTAACTAGATTACTGAAATCCTCTTTAGCAGCTTATAGCTATATCCTTGATTCAGTGTCATATTTTATTGCTTTTATAGTTACTTAGGTGGATGCCTTAATGTTGACTGGGCATGAAACACCGTACTTTATTTATTTTTTACCATAAATGAATGCCTAAATGGCCTTTGAATTCCCTTGGAGCATTTTTATCGTAGATCTGATTCACTGGTGAGTTTAAACATTTCTCGAAATACAACATTTATGTACTCTGTAGAAGCAGGCTCAGCCAAACTGACCTTATTGTATTTGACCTAATTGTGTCATGTACCACATTCATTGCTTACGCGTTCCTCTTATAATTTCCCCAGGAGATAAGTCAGATGCATTACAGAACTGATGGGGTGGGTTCTGGCTAGCAGTTCCTTTCAAAACTTATCAGTGTTGATGGGGCAAATTTTCAGAAGTTGGAAAGCTGGTTTCAGAACGGTTTTATTTTTATTAGTTGTTAAGGTTCACCAATATGCCTAAATTCTTCTATTCTTATGAAGTGCTATGGATTAGTTATACACAAACCTCAATCTGCTAGTTAAATTATTCTTATGCCTTCTGAACTGTTGTTGTACGATGTACAGTTGTAGACCCCGGGTGCAGAATATGTGGCTTTCCAGCTGCAGCCGGATTGTAGCTCCCATCTTTCCTCACCATTGGCTATGTTTCCTGGGACTGATGGGAGCTGTAGTAGGATACTATCTAGAAAGGCACACATAATCCTCTGGCCCTACTGTAAGGTGGTGGTTTTGTTATTTCAGACTGCAACAGAAGTCATACTTTTAAATGCTCTCAAACTGTAAATCAACATTATTAATTAATAAGACTCCATCAATGTGGAAAATCAGCAGACTCTGGTAAAAAGATCAGAGCTGGGCTGGAACATGTTCTAGATCCTAAGCAGTGCGTGGGAGCCACAATTTTCCCACAATGCTGTACAGCACGTGCAGAATGCTCTGGAGCTTTGCTATGGAGGGATTTTTTTCTAATGATAGCCATCTGGCATAGACTGGAACAACTAGGAACAACTTGAATTCCCACAGGAAGAGTACCGGCCATACTGAGTAAACCCACAGGAGGTTGCTGATTGACAGTCCCACTGTCAGTCAAGAATGACCATGCAGGGGATTGGCAGGGACTAACTTGCTACATGCTGAGGTGAGAAGCCTATCGACAAGGATGTCCAACACTATGCCAAGCATTCGTGCAAGCTTGGATTGAGACCAAGACTTTAAGTTTTCCATGGTTCTTTCCCTTTCCTATGACTACCAAAACCAGAATGAATTATACAAATCCGGTACATTTATTAACTTCAGCATTTTGGCTTGATGATTTGGATTGTCCGAATGAATTGTTATTATTTGGGGATGGGTGGGTTATTCATTCATTCATTCATTCATTCATTCATTCATTCATTCACTTATTTTCACCCCACCTGTCTCCTTAAGAAGAACCAAAGGCAGCTTACATCATTAAAAGGCAATATTAAATACTAAAAAGAGTAAGTATGCAAACCTTTTAAAAGGATCAAACAGATATCACACTAAAAGACAGTAAACTAAAGCAACGTCAAAAACGTGTTCAAAGCAGTAAGGCACAACCATCAATTAAAAAACCCAGCCAGTGACTCAGGGAAAATGTGTAGAAGGGCAGGTTTTTGCTTGCTTGCAGAAGGACAGCAAAGATGGGGCCAGTCTGACCTCCAGTGGGAGAGAGTTCGGAAGTCTGAGAGCAGCAACAGAGAAGGCCCTTTCCTGTATCCCCATCATATACACCTGTCAAGGTGGTGGGACCAAGAAAACAGCCTCTCCTGATGATCTTAATACCTGACTAGGCTAATAAAGGGAGATGCCATCTTTGGGATAGCTTGGACCCAAACTGTTTTGGGCTTTATAGGTTAAAATCAGCACTTTTGAATTGTACTTGAAAACAGACTGGCAGCCAGCAGAGTTGCTGTAATGGGGATTATGGGACATGTTTACTGATATGGCAGAACATGCACAACCCTGCACATAGCAAAACTGCAGTCCTACTGCTTCACCGAAACTGAATTCCAAATAGGTATGCTTAAGACCAGAACAAAACAATTATTGTCATTATGAACAAGCAGCATTCATATAAAGACAGGGCCTGGACCCTACAGGATTATTCAAAGTGTACACACCCACAGCTTGCATCCCTGCCTGTGCAATGTGGTTTCCTGGATATTCTGGAGTCATCTAATAATGTATTGGTTTTGCTTCTATCAATATTGTGCCACTTGTTATATCCGAGTGTGGCACCTGCTGAGCACACTCACTGACCAGGAGTTATAAACCTTTTTACTTCACTCAGGAAAAAAAATCCATGCTTGAGGTGGATTAAGACAAAGAGTTTTGTACTCATGCCTCCCCCTTTTCCCAGTCAAGGGAGCACTGGGAGCGGGGGTGTTCTTGTATTGGAGATGGTCTAAGCCCGAGGTGGGCAACTTGCAGTCCTCCAGATGCTGACTGATTATGGCTCCCAATGTTCCTCACCATGGCCTAGGCTGGCTAGAGCTAATGGCAACTGAAGTTGGACAACATCTGGAGGACTAAGCCTAGCCTAAACCCCTGCCTTGCCCAGATGTGTCCAGTGTCTGCGCAGAAAGTCGGGTCATTTATTTCTTTTTACTGTATTCCAGATTTACTATGTGCCATAGACTTCAGTGAGAGCACAGATGTTGATTTAGTTCATAATCTGTAATGTCTCCATCATTTCATCTGCATAGACCTACACAGAGTTATATACCATGCAAGTGTCAGAATGCATTGGAACTTAGAAACTGACGTGTCTTCACTCATATTTTTGACAAGCCAAAATTCCCATTTTGATGAGATTTAAGCTTCCTTTAATTTTTCAACTATAGCTAGAGTTACAAGTTCTAACCATGAAGTCTTACATCTTGTCTACTGAGTAACAAATCCCAATGAACCCCATGGTACTTGCTCCCAGGGAAGTGATAACAGAACTACAGCCTAAATGTCTAAAAATGCTTTCCTCAATTATTTTTTTACAGACCTGTCCTGCTATAACAAAAGAAATATTCATCTGAAGCAGCTCACAGCCAGTTAAGCCAAATGGTCTGATTTAAGCTATTGTAGTTTGAGATGAACAGGACTTTGATTGGTTCTAGCTATGGTTTCTGGAACAGCAATACAATGATTGGACTGAAATTTAGGCATATGTTCTGTGGGGACTTTTGAATGCATACTCACATTTTCATGGATGGCAAAGATCATCACAGAAATAACGATTTTCACAAATACACTAGCTGTAAATCCAGTCAATGAAAGTATTTTCCAATTTGCTATACAGTACCATCCTAAATACACCTGGTATTGAATGATTTTAAAGCTATACAGGATTGGTGCACTGAGTCCTTGTATGGGAAATCCCCAGGTGTAGCTGAGAAAGAATCTTGACCGAAAAGTGGGTTAGTCTCTGGCTGTGGAGCCAGAGGTTGGGAGTTCGATTCCCTGTTGTGCCTCCTTGTTAGGGGCTGGACTTGATGATCCACAGGATCCCTTCCAGATCTGCAGTTCTAAGGTTCAAATTTGGAGAGCTGTTGTCAGGGTCCCTTCCAGGTCTGCAGTTCTAAGGTTCAAATCTGGAGAGCTGTTGCCAGTCCAAGTTGGCATTATCTTAGATGGACCAAAGGTCTAAGTCAAGATCAGGCAGCTTCCAGCGCACATCCTTATTCTACTGACTTCAGTAAAAGAGGTGGGGAGAAAAAAAAAGTGGGCCTATGGACAGTTCCACATTCCAGCAACAACCCTGCTATAGAAGGACAGCTGCATGGCGTCAACATTGATACAGTCTGTCTTCTTCAGAATTTTTTAAAGTACCAGGCTGTTCCTTTCTGACAGGAAGATAGGCTGGTTTTGTGTCAAACATGAAGCCATCTCACCTCTCTGAGATGGGAGCTGTTGTTTTTAAACAATCAAACAACAGCAATAGCAGGTATGCTAAATGTTTGAGAAAACAAAGTAATTCAGTTGTCCATGTGCAGTACAGTGTTCAAGCCAGACATGGTATGTGCACCAGAATGAAGTTGGTGTCAGAAGGGAGCACAGTTTGCACTTAGAAATCCTTTATCTTGATTGGGCAGTATGTTGTTCTCCCAATATTTTGGACTACAACTTCTAAAGTCCATTACCATTTTCTATGCTGCTTGGGGCTTCTTTAATTAATTAGTTAGTTAGGCATCCTTCAGTCTCGAAAGACTATGGTAATGTGCTCTGTTTGGAGGACTTGGAACAGCGTCAAGTGTGGCTGAGAAGGCCAATTCGAGAGTAACCATCCCTTCCACACTGAAGACAAATACAATCTGTCCCCTGTCCAGCTCCCTGGTTTTATTGCTTTCGTCACTGCCTCTTTGCCTCGGCCTTTTAGCATGTATACATTACTGAAACAGTAACATCTACGTTGGCTTGGGGGGCTTCTCAAAGATGAAAACATCTGGAGAGTCCAAGGGGTTTTATGTTCTCTTCTCTTACTTGAAAAGGTCTGATCCTACCACATAGGGGAAACAGTTATAGAAGTTCTAATACAAGCAGAAAACCAGAGGGCAATAGCTGAGAGACTGGCAGGTAGTAGTCAAACAATCAATTCCAATTCTATACAGCCAACCAGAAAAACTTATTAGTATTGGACTAGGGAAAAAACAGGACATCTGTCAGTTGTCCTCTTCCATTGATTCCAGACTTTGCCACACTTAGAGTAGTCCTACTGAAGTCCATGGGAGCCATGTTCATAACAACTAACTTAAGTCCAACTGACTTCTTAAAAGTGCCAGGGCAATCTTGAGCTAGGGCCCAAACCTAATTACCCACAAAGGCTAAGCGAACATCTGAGTCTGTACTGAATCCAAACCGCTTCCACCCTACAGATGTCAGAAATGGCTTAGGAATACCCTGACCTTGCCCTAAATCTGTGCCTGCATAGTTTGGACTAAGAAGGGTTTGACTCTGGAGTCACTTAGCTCCTCCCCTTCTCCACACACACACCCTTTTTTGGGGGGAGATCTTCTGTCAGCTGATCTCAGCCAGCACAGCAATTGTACCTGCAGATCTAGTTGTTCTGGCCAGTATATGAAATTAGCTAACAAGAAGGGATTGGGCCAACACAAGGCCAGTGGCTCCAGCATAAGGGGGCTTCTGCCCATTCCAAACCCCAATGTTTCTGGAATTGCTTTGAGACTGATTTTTTAAATCTTACTGTATGTTTCTTTTTAAAATCTGATATTTATGTAGTGTTTTAAAATTTGTTGTTTCACCTATTGTGATCTGCCTTGGATCCCCTAGGGGGAGAAAGGTGATAGATAGATAGATAGATAGATAGATAGATAGATAGATAGATAGATAGATAGATAGATAGATAGATAGA